CTGAAAAATTGTTTTACTCATAGTATTTGCATTTCCTACTCCCTTTCGGTGTTAGCTTTGCTGATATAACATTTTGAAAACCGACTTTCAATTAGGTGTATACAGAAAGAAACAACTAACCTGCCTTTTTGCCACTGCACTGAAGAAAAAAAAAACGTTTCTATCTTTTATTCCAGGTTCAAGCTATCTTCCCATTGGACAGTTCAAGCAGGTGTATGGGATTTTCTTCACAAAGACGGTAACAAAAAAGAATTCAATGTCAAGGCAATTTACATACATCCTCATTATGATGCACAGTCACATCAAAGCGACTTGGCTTTGATCTATCTACAGACGCAAGTAGCACATAATGACAGGGTGAAACCCATCTGCTTGGGTACATTCACAGACTTGAAACCTGGAAAAATCTGCTCTGTAGCTGGTTGGGGAAGTACTTCAACAACTCATAGTAGATCTAGAACCCTATTGCATAGAAAKCTACCTTTGGTATCTAAGGAACAATGTAACAGTGAATCTGCTCATGGAGGTCGCGTGGATTCTAGTATGATATGTGCGGGCTATTCCCATGGGGGAAGCGATGGGTGCTACGGTGATGGGGGTAGCCCTCTTATGTGTCAAGACTCGTCGAACAAGTGGGCAATAAGTGGCATCTATAGCTGGGGTGAAGGTTGTGGCTTGCCTGAAAAGTATGGAGTATATACTAACGTTGCGTCTCAMAAGCAATGGATAGAGAGAGTTATATCCAGGCATTAACAATTCAACACTCATAAAAAAACATATCTCTCATCCGTTTGCTTGCTGATTTTGAAAATTGGCTCAGCACTAATACTGATTGGACAAGAAGAATGATTTGAACAGATGGAGCTACCTGCATATATATATGTTTGAGGATTACCGATATAATATCTAACATGTTTGGAGCAGTGCTATTAATTATATGCTAAAACAAACAAACAAACGAATAAAAAACATTAAATAGTATAAAGCTAAGCATCCTGCTATTTACGCAAAAGTGGTACGAAAAACAGTACGAAAAATACTGTATTTATTGTATTTGCAAAATTTTAAATATAAAAGCTGTTTTAAGATGTTTTATATCGTCTTAAGGGTCTCACTCTCGAGGTATATATTCTGAATAATGCTTTGCTATGTAATATTTTTCAAAAATCTATCCTGACTTTTATAAATGATACTTTAATAAATGATACGTTTATAACGACTTTTATAATGATCACTGCGCGGTAAATTTTTAATTAGCCAAGGGCAATATTTCTCTGTAATTTTTCATAATGTTTACTGAGACAATCTCTTGAAAAAGAATATAAGATAAATAAAAATGCTACCGTCACAAAGTGAGTACCGATGTCATTTTTTTTACCAAAGTAGCATTGGAACATCTTTGCAACAAATGTACTAATCTGTCAAATCGGTCAGACTTTCAGCACAAGAGCATGGATTATAGGTGTCTGTCAAGCGTTGAGACCTCCAAGGTTGCAGAACACTTATTTTAATTGTGCTRCCATCGCTTCTTAAGTATTTTCCACATTCATCTAGAAATTACACGTATACTGTGAGTGGTCAAATCAGCCACATGAGCTCATTGTGTACTACACATTCCTGAAAAGCCTTAATTGACAAATGACGTGAATCAGCAGGGCATTTCACTCCAGTCATTGCTAGAATTTCAACCATTTTATAACCGACAAATGGKTATTYATTAATTGCCGGTGTATTGGTTGATAAAGATTATTTCAARGTGCAGTGAGTCMTCATTGGACATCAAGTCACCGTAAATTGCAGGGTCCTGATGAGGAGCCTTGGATAAGGTAATGTAGGTTGTTTATAAGCAGCAAATAATACTTGTTTATGTGAGCTGAGTACTGATTTCACTCAAGTGTATCGAACAAGTAATGGTCGAAATATTCTAAAATAATTGAAGCAGCTAACTTTGATGTTAGAAATCTTAATAAATCCAAATCTATTTGTTATTGTTATAATAGATTGTTTTTAATGCCAGGCCACACCCTTAAAGAAAACTTTATCATTTCTATAAAACCATATTTGGATCTAGTAATTGTAAGGAATGATATCGCAATTGTTTATAAACATATCATTATTGTAGTATATTATTCAGTTTGTAGYTTTTAAACAGTGTAAGTATAAAATTGTTTCAAAGCACTTGTAAATCTCAAACATTCTTTATGCTGGTCAGTATTGCCACACGTGTATTATTGGCAAAGCCTACTCCGATTTGTTAAGTGAAAATTATGCCATCGGATTGCGTTGGCTTTCTGAATTTCGGATTCACATCTTTTGATAGCTATACTCTAGTCTATAGCTATACTCTATAAATCGTTTCAGATGGTTTAAGCTAGCGTTGCTAAGTATAGTCTAATTCACCGTGTTTTATTGAGCGTTTCATTCATAACTGTTTAGATGTTATTGTCCTCGCATTTTCAATCAAAAACTTGCTGATAACATCAATTAATTTTTTTTTCTAAAGAACTTTTGATTTGTCACAAAAGGATAAACGTTTGGTTATATTGAGATATAAAGATTTACTGATAATCACAATGGGTTAAGACCGTGTAGTACATYCACCTGTTAAATTCAGTGCAATGATTTAGGCGGATACTCTATCAATCCCTCTTTAGCGGTCTKTTTGAAAGTCTAACCTCTTAGCACGTATTTTTAWGTAGAAACGCGAGTTTAATAGCAGTACTGTGAATCGACAAGTACCAACCATTGACACCTTGACTTGTTATCGTGACATGTGAAACAGCTCGTTTTTATAMAGTCACTCTTYGCCGAGAAATCATTTGGYACATAATTTGGTAASCTGCAATTCCCAATGAGTCAAACGGAAGCTATTCGTCGAGTTCATAGAAATGCGGAAAGTAAAGTCASTACAMTTACWAGAATCTGCGTCATAACATTTGTTTTAGACACGTCATGTAATAATAAAAACTTCCGTATGACTCAGTATAAACTGCTTAGTTTGATATAGTGTCACAGATTTGTACTGAAACATAATTGTTGCAAATTAATCAAATTATTTTTCACGTGTTGTCAAATTATTTTTCACGTTGTCAATACAGTTCATTGTAAATTTCACAGCAATCTATATTTCTATAAATAGTACAGTTACAGAAGGTTAATGCATGAGTGACGCGTGCCTTGTGTATTTTTTCTTTGTAAGATAAGTACAAGTGCTTATTCAAAACTCATAACAAAAAAGCCGCACAGGACGGATCCATGTGTTCGTGCTTGCTTCCAAATAGGGTATTAATAACAATAATAATAGAAGAAAATTCCATAACATCCACCAAGTCGATGGTGCCATGTGTTCATGCTGTCAAATACAGATATAGAATAGAATTCCATAAAATCCTGATATATTCTTAAAAGGGGGCACTTTTTCATAACCAATGACAGTATTTGAAATATCAACCATAGTTTCATAATTCTCCGACATCTTATTGGCCATAGTTGTCGTTCGAGCTATAATTTCATGAAAGTGCTGAGTTACTGATGAAAACGTGCGAATTGATGACCTTTGGATATTTTGCTTTGGTGAACAAATATTTTTGGTGACAGCTGTCATTTTCCACTTTTAATAAATTAAAACAAAAGTCGAAATTTGCGTACATTTTGCAGTTAGCCGAGTTATGTGATTGCCATTTGCTTTTCTTTTCTTGTGGTTGATCCAGCTCAGCAAAAATGAATGGTYTGATTTGTAACAATACATCAGTGTGGGATGATTGCTGATGTTTGTAATCTCAAGAATTTGAAACATCTCATGCAATGATAAACCCCAAGAGGGGACCTTTTATTCAAGCAAAATTTGTTAAATAGCTGCAGCAGACATCATTTAACATCAGATTACGGACGATAACGTTGTTGAACAGAGCTCCTGTCATCCAATATCCTACAGGTAGAGACCAATCAAAAAATCATTAAGATCATTTAATTACTTTAGCGGACTTAATAATAAATTTTATCAACAGATCCAATTCATTTATCACAGAAAAACTGGCGCAGAATCTTGTGACAGACCATTTGATTCTTATTCACTAATATTGTTCTGAAACACAGTTTACAAGAGCAAGGACTGAACAGACATGGATTCCATTGTGTTTTCTGTGAGCTTTATTCTGGTGGCTTCCATGATGTGTAAGGCCGAAACCGTCAAAGCGTCAATGGGGAAACTTCATCAGAAGAGAAGTCAAGGAGCAGTTTTACATTCAATGGTGTTTGACATTAAAGAAAACAGTGCAAACGAGAAACAATTTGTGGACCGCATCTTGTCTCTTGCAAACGCTAAAGTACATAGTACCCATGCTTCCCTATCGAACAACGCCAAGATGATGAACCAGCGATCACAAAGGAAAAGAAAGTCAATATTTGGTATCGATAACCGTATCAGTGTTGGGACGTCGATACAAGCTCAGATGTATCCATATTCAACAGTCGTCACATTGTCAAGTGGATGTACAGGAACGTTGATTGGTGCCCAACACGTCTTAACTGCTGCTCACTGCGTTCATAATGGGAAAAAGTTCATAAAAAGGTCCAGGAAACTGAAAATAGGTACGTTATATTGAGAATTTATCGCAGTCATTTAGCCCCATTCACTTTCCTGATGATTACAAAATTGCTCTTCATGAACAAATGCTTTCATCGTGTATTATCCTGAATCGTTCAAATACCACAATGTCGTCAAACGACTGCGATGGTTAAAATTGATAATCATCCAATTACAAACTTCTTTTGTTTTCTTTTGTTAAATCATTTCCCTTCCGAAAAATAGAATAGGATACTAGGGTCAAAGTAAGGTTAAAAGTTACAAAAAAAATTTTTTTTTGAGGATAGTGCGTTGACTAACATATGACAATTTGTTATCACAAAAATCGACAAAAATCTCTTAGAGTATTTCCTCTAAGGGGAGAGAGATGGCTGACACAGCTAAGTAGAATTTATTACATATCAAATTTGCAACATTTTGAGCGTTTTTGAAGAAGCTGTTTGGAACGTTTCCACAAAAGGAAATAAATTTGAGGACAAAAAAAAACTTTACTGTCTAAAAACCATTCTGCGTGGATCGTAAAGAAACTCATCACCAGGTGGTCGCTGGGATACCTTTTGTTTGTGAACATGTAATTTTAGCCATTTCGAAAATAAAGTCGGTACAGATTATTTTTAATTCTACAATCAGAATGTCAAGTACTTCACTTCACTTTTTGTCTAATAACTTCGTCTCAATTGCTTTTGTCGGCTCATGCCAGAATATTCTTATCTAAAACTTGCAATTATAAATGGTCTTTTTTACAATAATAGTACGATATGTAACGGTGCATTACCATATATAGACAAAGCTGCAATGATAAGACAATAAATAGATACCAGTTTACTCAAGCGAACACTTGTTACTATTTGAGGTCCGACATCAGTATCGTTCCACGTGCAACTGTGTTGCCTGTTAAAAATGAATTGGCTTCGATCTACAGTACATGGAATAGAGACGAATTTTTTAAAATGTCACCTTTCCATTTTACGAAGGTACCCAACATAAAGACTTTGTTAAGTTGTTATTTGTTTATTGATTGTTATTTATTGATTCAAATTGGCTTGATTCATTCATTGAATTGTTTGTTTGTTTGTTTGTTTTCAAATTTTCGTTCATCGGCTTGAGCAGTCCCTTAGCTTTCACTGTCAATTTTTAATCAATTCGTTGTAATTCAGTGTTTAGTACAGACGTATGCTCTTAATCCGGCATAGTTTTCTCGGACTGAAATATGCTCTATACTGCATCATATCATAACAATCCGGAACAGACTTTCCTAATATAGACTTATTCGATACTTCAATCAGGCCATAGTTAATAACTATGATCAGGCGTATATGCCTTCTTTACTGCCAGCATTTCATAAATAAGCAAACTTGGGCTTATCACTTACCAAGACAGTATTTCATAACGGACTGATTATATTAATGATAGAATTCTTATTGGATCAGTTTTATTCACATGTATTTTTTGTTTATAACAGGAATGCTGCAAAGAAATGGCGCTTTCCGATGGATCAAAGTAAGCAGAATCCATCTTCCAAAGCAGTGGTTAAGGATCTCGACCAAAGAGCGCGTCAAGCACGATTACGCTGTGTTGAAACTAAAGCGTCCCCATAGACGCCCAATAATGGCCATAAAGGCATCAGATCTGAAAAGGGGCTCCACGATGCGGTTTGCTGGTTTCCATGGCGACAAGGTATCGAATACAATGTGGTACTCACAGTGTCCAGTGATGGGAGTCATCAGTGGTGCTGTACTTAGTCACTGTGATGGCGCTAAAGGCATTTCGGGTTCAGGAGTGCGTTCAGACAACGCTGTGGTTGGAGTTGTATCAGCTATTGGTACAGGAAGATATAGAGGCAGAAGTCTTGAATTCAACGTTGTCATCACTCTCACTCCAAGAAAGGTCAGGAGAATTTTGAGATGGATGAAGAGAGGAAATAAGAAACGACGAATCAGAGCAAGAAGAAAAAAAGCTCATCAATGATTATTTTCATCCATTCATCCAAAATGTAACGGAAATTATAACTTTCTCTACGTTGAAGCCCGAGAGATTTACGGGCTATCCATTTATTAACAGTTCACAGCGACGATAATAATTTACTTACATCAACTCTCTCTGCAATTGCTCTAATAACAGAACGGAACTCTTAGTATTTTATAAATGCTCTGTACAACTTGCCACACTAAAGTTGATAATTTGATGGTGATGTTAATGATGATGACAAAAAATCATTTAAGCATTTGATCGAAAATTCTCAGTAATTATGATATCTACCTGTAGTGTCAAGAAAAGACTGTTCTTTTTTCAAAGTATTTTTGTATAAATAAGCTTTATGTCGCTATATGATATGAACTAAGCAGTTTTATAAAGACACGAACGAGGCCATAAATTTCACTGATCTTTCAGTTTAGAATTTAGTGTTTTGGAAAATCCAATCTTATTTTAACAAAATATTTATTTGCACTATGACTGTTATATTAATATCTCAATATAATATTATTTCGCAGCTGAAAGCCAATGATTTGTAGAGTCCAATTGCCAGTTATACGCTCATAGTGAAATCTCTTTCATATTTTTCATTATATTCACTTATATTTACAACATTAGTTTCTTAGTTTTAGGTTAAAGTTTTCTTGGTTTTCTTATTATTTAATTCAAAATGGTTTCTTATTGGAACCATGAGATCAAATATTTATATGCCCATGGCATGATGAAAAAGTAAAAAGGTTTTCCTTTTGATATTCCTTCTTTAGGTTGTATATATTTTGAGAATAAAAAATGTATACTGAAAGTGTTTGTGTCGAATGTATTTACTTTCTTATTTGTTTGAGTGTTTGTTTATGTTTTATTTATTCTTATATCATGCTTAGAGACATTTTATGATCGTTTTAACGATATTCAGTTATGTATTTTAGACTTTCTTCTGAAATAAAACGAACGAAAACTCATTTCCCATGGAAATCGATTCCAAAACGACTTCAGAACAAACAATTTGATCGTTTGTAATGTGGTAATGTGGAGATGGGTCCTTTTGAAAACGTTGACTACATTCGGCTTCCTTTGAGCCAAAGCAAGTCAGTTGTTATCCTTGGTCACAAAAGTCTGTTTTGTAGACATTTCCATTAATTTCCCTCCAGTTCCTCTAAATTCGTTAAAAAGACTTTAAAACATATATATCGACTAATCGTATGTTTTTATTTCACTTATAAAAACCTCTTCCTGTGACGCGCTCGCTTGCCGCAATTTGAGTGTTCGTTTAACATTATTGACGCACTTTCCTTCATAATTACGTCGACTATCGTATAAAAAGGCACCTCTATAAAAAGATCTTTCTTAGAAGCTGAATGAAACTCCCTTTTTTCTTTCCGGGTGATAATTGTGAATCAATGTAGGTGTAATTTCGTTTATAYCTCACCTTAATGTAATACCACACGCTTGGTGTACTTTGTATAAAAGCTTTTCAGTCATCCTAGTATGTGGTAAACTTATCATCATGGCTGTTTTCTTGATTGTTAGGGATTTAGTTTCTATATTCACCCTATTGACTGCTACTTTCGAAATATTTGTCGTTTTTTACTTGTGGTATAGCCATACCGAATAATTCCGATTGAAATGTTGTTGTTTGCATAATCAGTACTCCCATTCTATATTTTCGTGATCTTGCGGGGCTATTCTTTGTATTATGAGTTACAGAGCCCAAGCTCTGTGTGGTGCAAGCATTTCGTTAATCATTCTCCCTGCAGCGGTATCTTAGCTCCTCAGCATGTTACGTTTGTTATGTAAAAATAGTTCAACAATAGTCGTGGGAAAAGGTGATTCAGTTGACTATATCAACGTTTGATACTCCAAACTTCCAATTTATACACTCTGTTTCAAGTCTGATAAAAGTATTTTCCCAACCATTCACATACTGGTATATTTCTTAACATTTTTAGAATATTTTCCATTAAACTTCTTTTGGGTTTTCGCTATTTGTTTAATGGCATTGTGCGGTGTATTTTGTCGATTCATCATACCATATATAGAAAAAAGGGGATAGCTACACAATACAGTGTGCTTCACTTCCAAAACCCCGTTCCATACATAGCTAACAATGTATAAGAAAACTCATATATTGTGAAAACTCGTATATATATACTATACTGTGCCTTCATTTAATCGTTTTACTTTAAAAAATCAAATGCCAAGAAAGAAGTAATATCTGAAAAAACAACAATCAAAAAGACATGTAAAAACGACAATGCGAATTTGAATGAATAAGGATTGGATAAACTTGAGTTATCCAGACTATTTGTATTTAGAATGACTCATAGTCCTGTTCGAAAGCTTCTACCATGGAGTACAGACCACGTACTGCACAATTACTATAAATGAAAGTATGTCATGGAACAAAAACATAACATACTTGACTGTGTATGCGATATGACTGGCATTTCTGAACACTGTTGGTTCTATCATAGTTATTTAGACTATGTTTTAGCCTTTTAAGGCGCTGCAGATGGGTTATTTTTTGTCGTTCGTGCTTTATCTGTTTAGATTGTCAATGAAGAAATCAAGAGTTGGAATTAATAGCCGCTTCAAAGGACTGAATATAAACCGCCAAACGGTTTTAAGTGGTCGATTGGGGGATCGAGTAAGATTTTCAGCCACCCTCTTTTTATAAACCTTTTATATTTTCACAATAATTTATATAAAATTTTCAAAGATAATTTCACGTTTTGAGATATTCTTCGCATGCATGCAAGCACACAATACCACTGCTTTTTGTCTTTTACGTTTTGCAATATGTTAACCTCTCCATTTCATTTTTTTTTCTTTTGACTATAATTCTATTAATACACCCAGGCATTTTATACTCAGAAAAGAATATTATTTCACCATAATTATTTACATATTTGAGCTATTCACAGAGTTTTATGTACAGCATTTTTAAATAGCAAGCAATTGTCTCTTGCTAATTAATCAAAGTCGACGTATACATATATCATAATTGCTTTTCATAATGCCGGTTAACATCATTTAAACTTTGATATGCTATTATTTTACAAGATTTGGCATGGGAGTATTGCGTATCAAGTTATCCTGAATACACGCAACGTGTGTTTTTCGATATTTTACATTAACGGTCTTCTATTGGAATTGATAAACATATATCACCATAGATGCTAGTCGATAATAGTTAAAAATGTCAAAAGCAGGTAAACTGCTGATATTTGACGTAGCCACAATAGTGTTGTCTGTACTTGTTCCTGATTATATATTTATCAAGATTTATGATAATGGACATCGAATCCGCAGACTATAATTACCGGACCTCACAAAATCCAAAAACGAAACTCCAGTTAGTACGAGTTGATTGAGTCCTTTCTCGAGTTGATTGACTTTTTACTTAAATATAAATAAATTAGACATTCCTTTTGGTTTAGGCCTTCGTCGTAAATACTGATTCATGAGCATGGTCGACAAGCGCACTTCATTGCAACTGGATACTTAGTATTTTCCTTCCTGCCCTTACATCTTAAAGTTTTCTTCTTCATCATGATTTTAATTGGTGCACAGCAAGAGCAGCTTGAAGCAAGGCCAAGCTTGTGTATAAATGGCTGAACCGAGGATAGACACTCTCCATAGCATCCTCTACTTTTTAATTTAAATGAACAGTCGTCCAAATTTGCCATGATGAAGCCGTTTCTTACAGTGCAGTCGCGTCGACGATATCCACGGAAATATCTTCTTGATCGTACCATCTGGGTTACGGTAGTGAGCAGCAGTAGGCATATGCAGACAGTTCTTGGTGTTAACATGGTTGCTTTATCTGAAACAAATACAAGGTGTTTATAGCTCGATTTAATTGATAATTGATTGAATTGTTATAAGCTGTAGTACTTTGACACTTCGTATGCAATCAAATTTATGTTGACATTCTTAATTACCGTTGATAGTTACAAGTGACAATCAATTATTACCAAAATTCTATGCAACGCATTCGACTATTGCAGCATGTATTGAGTTACACTACTGCAGATTGTCAACTATTCTTGTGTTGTGTTGTTCAAAAATAATACAAATATCAAAAATGATATAGTCATTAAGACATTTATCAATATTGGAAGTTTTACCTAGTTTCTTGTAAAAACATTACCATCCCTCGTAAGTAAAAGCTACTCTCGTCTTTATGATAATCTAGCTGAATAATGTCGCAGATTCGCACCGGAGATAGCCCCTGTAGTCATCTCTAGTAATGCTTATTGTACAAATATACTGCTTAGATTATTCAACTCAAAGTAGATTAACTTGCCAAGTTTTTGTAATGATATAAAGTCAATAACAAGATTTTTATTTACATAGGAAATGACGGAGTCCTAGAGAGCTTTTGACAACTGCGCACTCGCATATTAATCATCGTTCCCGACGTGATTACTCAATATTCATTCACGAAACAAAAGTCTCTTCAGTCTCTTCTGTGTAGAAGACCTTGTGCTCTTTTGTCTTGCCCTTTGAAAGATTTCAAAGAGTTTGTCAAAACATCTTTTGTATTGAACATGTGACTTGCAACTTGAATTACTCCGTTATACTCCTAACAGCAACTCCAGGCTTCTTTGATATATTTATATTTGAACTTCGAAAGTCAAAATTCGTAGAAATGCTATAATTAAAAAAAATTTATTTTATCTAACAATTACGCCTCAGCGAAAAACCTTTATGAGCTAACTGTGATTATTCTAGGACTAATAAAAAAGTAACGCAAATCGGACAGGGTAGATTTATATCATAAATGTACAAACCTCGAAAACGTTTGGCTCGATACACATTATTTATGACCTAAAAGACCAATTAGTACCTATTGATGAGTTGTCAACAAAACAATAGTTTTTAACAGCATGTTCCGTCATTCAGTTTCGTGAGACCTTAGTTTCTTCACGTCTCCGGATGGTGAGAGAAACTGTCTAAATTTAACCAATTTTAATTTAACGGTAGTACTTTGTAAAGATCTGGTTTTATTATTCTAAATTGTATAAAACATTCTAGTTATGAAAGAGCGAGTTTTAACAGCTTCGCTTCGTATACTTATTTTGCGTTGTCTCTTAGTTAACGAAATAAATATAAACCATATGTTCATACATACTAGACCATGGCCAATTAATAGTATACTACTAAAACTTTTCTTTCTCGGGCTATTTAACCGAAATATGTCGATCTTACAGATCATGGACCGCATTGATAAGTTAGTTTTTGGGGAATCAGGGATTAGGTACTCTGGAATTTGAGCTCAGGATAAGAAACGCGATGACTTAATTTTTAGCCTAGGGCGGCAAATATATATACATATCGCACCCAGCGATGTATTGGGRTCAGGGATCCGCACTGTGTCAGTACGGTCACGATAACTGGAAAAAATGTTCACCTTGTTACTGACCCTATAAACATCATAAGGCTGAGTTTTCCAGAAATTTAGACCTTACTAAGATTAATGCATTTGACTTGATACTAAAAAAAGAGTTTAGAGGCTAGGCGGGACACGCCAGTTATAGATTACCCTAAACTGAGGGGTTTCAAGTGTTGATAACTTGACCTTGAACTTATTATGAACTCACAAAATTAAACATTAAGCTGTCAYTCAGTCGTTCCACAGATGAATCCTCACTTTTCGTTCATTTACCCTCGTGATCAAACGGTGAGGATTCAGTTTTACTATGATGAGTCACCTTAACAGTTGTGCCATTGAGGTTTGTGAATATCCCGCTCACCCTACTATACAGTGTTTACACCTCTTTTTGTGTTTTTAAAGGATCTCTG